CTCAGGAGGCTGAGGCAGGAGAATTGCTTGAACCCAGGACACGGAGGCTGCAGTGAGTCACGATCGTGTCACTGCACTCCAGCCTGGGTGATAAGAGCGAGACCCTGTCTCAAAAAAAAAAAAAAAAAATCTTTCTATTATCAAACTCCCACACCACTACCAGAGTGATCACCAAGTCAAAATATACTGAGTGCCTACTTTGTGCCAGTAACCGCTCTAAGGTGCTAAGGATACAGTAATGGAATCAGACACAGTCACATTCAGAGTTCACAGTCTGGCCCAGGAGAAAGAAAAACTAAATCATGTAATTCCAGGTAGCAAAAGTGCTATGAAAAGCAAGCAAGAGGGTAAGAGGCAAGCTATTACAGACTTAAGTCAGGCAAGGCCTCTCTGAGACGAATGACATTTGACAGGTAATACTCCCCCGACTACTGTCCCAAGAATGTCTGTTTTATTGGAAAAGTAATGGTGATGTACATCCAGATGCTTCATCCCAGCAAATCTTCCATAGTCTATGAGAAGCGATTCTGTATAGTAAAGCATAAAATGATGGAGTAATAGTGAGACACACAGTGAAAAGAGAAAAGGAAGTTTTACATCCTTTGGTAGAGTAGCATAGTGTGTGTTAATACTGTGGAACTAGAAAAAGTCTCACAGAAGGGAGGTCAGTATTCAGATGCTTATAGAAAACCCTTTCCCGGTTCTTCCAGAACACACATTTCTGACTATGTCACTCTTCTCAATTCCACAGCTCTCCACAGTTAATCATGCTGGAATGAGACCCTTCATTGTGGCATTAAACTACTTTACCATTCATATTTCCCAGGGTCTCTCCACAAGTACTCAGTTTTCCAAGAAAACAAGCATTCAAGAAAACAAGAATCCTCTTCCTTCTACGTGGGTCCCCTCCCCATCAAATCTCTTTCCTATAAACTATAAGTACCTACCAAAGTCCTATCCTACAAAGCACATCTCAAATACCAACTCCTAAAGGCATGAATATGATTTCTCCAAAGAAATGGCATCTCCTGGCCAGGCACGGTGACTCATGCCTGTAATCCCAGCACTTTGGGAGGTCGAGACGGGCGGATCACGAGGTCAGGAGATTGAGACCATCCTGGCTAACATGGTGAAACCCCGACTCTACTAAAAATACAAAAAAATTAGCCAGGCATGGTGGCAGGCACCTGTAGTCCCAGCTACTGGGGACGCTGAGGCAGGAGAATCACTTGAACCCGTGAGGCAGAGCTCGCAGTGAGCCGAGATCTCGCGCCACTGCACCCTAGCCTGGGCGACAGAGACTCCATCTCAAAAAAAAAAAAAAAAAAAGAAGAAGAAGAAATGGCATCTCCTTCCTCAACTCCCTTTCCAGTCCAATTCCATATTATAGGATTCATAGCTGAAGAAACAGGCTTATTCACTTTTCTCTTATGTTTTCAATATTAGATATTCATTTATTCAATATGTAAAAGACTAAAGGAGATCTACAACTAGGCTCAGGAGAAATAGTCAACATGGGATGAAGTCCTATTTGGTATGGTTCTACGCACTAAATCCTATGGCTGGCTGGGCGAGGTGGCTCACACCTGTAATCCTCGCCCTTTGGGAGGCTGAAGTGGGAGGATCACTTATGGCCAGGAGTTTAAGACCAGCTTGGGCAACACAGCAAAACCCTGTCTTTACAAAAAAATTATAAAAGTTAGCCAGGCATGGTGGCACACGCCTGTAGTCCTAGCTGCTCAGGAGGCTGAGGCAAGAGGATTGCTTGAACCCAGGAGTTCTAGGTTACAGTGAGCTGACTGGACCACTGCACTCCAACCTGGGCAACACAGCAAGACACTGTCTCTAAAACATAAATAAAACGTGGTGGTTTCATAGGAAATCTTAATGGAATAGTAAAGTAGCACAGGCTGTGTGTAAACTATCTTTGCTACTAACTTGATATGAACCTCAGGGAAGTTATTTAGCTTCTCTGGGTTCAGTTTCCTTATCTATAAAATGGTGAGAGGCTGTGTGTGGTGGCTCACGCCTGTAATCTCAGTACTTTGGGAGGCTGAGGCAGGTGGATTACTTGAGCCCAGGAGTTTGAGACCAGCCTGAGCAACACAGCCAAACACCATCTTAAAAAAAAAAAAAAAGATGAGACTATCACCTATCTCAAGGGTTGGTGTGAAAAATTAAGTTCATACACAAAAATGTACTTGTTCAATACGTCAGCTGCCAACTTGTTTTTCATTAGATTATTATTTCTGAAGACCCAATTTCTTCATCGGTAAATTGAGACTATCAGACTTCTTTCAACTCAGGTATTTCACACATAAGTGCCACAAAAACACTGAAGATGTCAGAGATCACCATGAGCTAACAGGCAGGGGTAAGCATCATAAAAGAGCCAGAAGCCAGGCTAGGCACAGAAAGATGCAAGCTGGGTAGAGACGTGCAGAGGATGACATTCTAGGGAGAAAGACTGAACTAGCGAAGGCTAGGAAGTGAGAATAAATGTGGAACACGCTTATAAGGGAAGACGATTTAGCTAGTTTGTGTTTTTGGCAATGGTGGAAAATAAGATATGATCTAAATGACTTTAAATATAGTGGACTAAAAACAACTGATTATATAAACCACATTACTTTATCACTTGCATTTTTGGAGGTGGAAGAAAGAGTTCTAGTGACAGTGATTAGCATCTACTCTACATAATACCTTGAGAGTATCTCACACACTATATAGAGGTCAGTTCTTTAATGAGAATCTATATAAAAACTCAAGAATGTAATCACATTCTTCTAAACCAAATATAAGTAAATGCTAGGTTATGGTTATTTTAGAAGCATCCCTTCTCTTGTCAGCTTAAAGCAACTGAGAGCTGATTATGTGACTATCAATGTAACAAAACAAATTTAAATAACTGCACTCCTCTCTTATATTAAATTGCTACAATATAAATCAGATATTATCATTCCTCTGATCCAAACCCTGAGATCCTTCTTAATAGCCTAAAAGGCTCTGGTTGTTCCGCTCACTCCCTTCCCCCAATTCTTCCCAGACTTTACCTCCTAATACTCCCTCAGCTCACAGTGCTCCAAACGCATTGGTCTTCACACTCTTAACGGGCCAGCTTTGTCCTTCTCAAGGCCTTTATATTTGTTACTCTCTAGCTTGGAACGTTCCTTTCCCCAGATAAACATAGGCTCACTCCTCCTTCTAGTCCGCTTAAACATAAGCTTGCCTGTAGGGACTTCCTTGACCACTTTATTGCAAATTCTAACAACACCTCCCCAACCCCCTTTCCAGCTTTCTTTATCCTAAGGTACTGATCATCTTCTAACATTCAGTATAATTTAGGTATTTCTTTGCCTCTCCTTGCGCTACTAGAAAGTTAAGTTTCACAAAGGCAGGGGTCTAACACCATTCCCATCACCTAGAACGGCGCTAGAGAATAGGCACCAATAAAAACATCCCTTGAATGAATGAACTGTACATTAGGCATTGTGTAAATGCCTCTTCCAGGTACAGAAAGACACACTTTCTTTTCCCAGCTGTAAAAGTCTAAATGTTAATTTTTGTACAAAACACTCACTGCTCACCTCCTATACGCCAGAACTGAGCCAGGCTCTGCAAAGTGACTTAAGACATAGTCCCTGCCTTTTAGGAAGTCCTGGGTGTGTATATGAGGGAGGACAGACATAGAAACATCATTCACAAAAAGAATATACAGGAAATTGGATAACTGCCTATAGGAGTGTAGGCAACAGGGAAATTCTCAGTGATGAAAATATAATTCCCCAAAACTCTCGAGAGCTTCTCCTATGTTTTTGATGCATATGTTTGCAACTCCACATAAATTATTTATTCACATCAGATAGGCTTTCAAATAGGCCGCAAAAAAGTTTGTGTGACTACAGTGATGCTAATAATCGACCTACTCAAGGCTGCACAAAGATCATCGCTTATCTTTTCACTCCTCTCATTTGGCAGCTTTTGTCTATCAGGACCCCAAATTCGGAAGCCTGCATCTCCCAAGCGCTGCCTCCTTGGGCCAGAATTCTCCCCGCGCTATCCCTGCCTCGGAGCCGGGCACCCTGCAAATCCCTTTCCTAGGCGAATGGGCGCCGCCTCCGGAAAGCCGCCAACTGGGCCTCGGTAAGACTTGCGAGGGAAGCGGGAGCTGTGGGAGGGCGACGCGGCTAGGAAGGAACCCTCGAGGCCTCTGCCCGCACTCCCACCCCTTCCCAGCACCCCGGCCGCCGGGGCCCTGAGGCTCTGCCGACTCTTTGTTAAGCAAGGCCGCAGTTCCTCCGCCCTCGCTAGGCCCAGCAGTTGCCTCCAGTGCCCCTAAGGACTAGCGGCCCTGCGTCCAAAACCCCCACGCACAAACCTGCTGCTATGGCTGCAGCCGCAGCTGCTACCACCGCCGGCACGGAGAGAATCCCGCGGCCCAAAGTACGCGCTGTCCCAGCCCGGTCCCGCCGCGCTCCTTCCTCTCCGCCCCCTTCGCCGCCGCCGCCGCCACCGCCGCCGCCGCCGCCGCCGCCGCCGCCACCGCCGCCACCGCCTCACGGCCCGTTGCTGAACGGGGGAGGGGAACAAAAACCCGACATGCGCAGTGAGGAGTGCGCGGGCCGAAGGGCGGGGCCGGGGCTTACGACTCCCGGAAGGCGCCTGACCTTAAAGCTCCAGAACGCCTCCCAAAGCTCCTCAGATACTCTGACAGGAAACTGCTAGTTGGGTGGACAGAGTTCATGACCCGTCTAGAAAGTGGGTCTGGGAATGAAGAAAAAGTGGCGTCAGGGGGCTGGTCAAAAAATCCCCAGAGAAAACGGGTTGGGCAGAAACCACATTTACATGAACATGCCTATCATTTAAACTCTGGTCCGTTGCAAATACTACTACAGCGACACTCTTGCCTTTGGCCACGTGATTCCGCACAGCATCACCACCTTTAGCTTCCGGAGCACCGGTTCCGTGTGACGTCAACTTGACGGAACCCTACGGAGGAGGATTGGTATAGGCGAGAGCAGTTCCGGCCCAGGGGCGGGGATTATGTAATTTTCCCAGAAGCCCCACCTCGCCTCAGCTGGGCGGGGAAGAGGGAGGTCTCGCGCTGTCACCGGTGTTGCGTCCCGCCCCGCACACTGCGCGCAGGCGCTGACGAGCCGCTCGCATTCTTCGTAACGGACGGCGGAGGCTACGTGAAGAGAGGCGCGGCCTGACTGAGCTACGGTTCTGGCTGTGTCCTAGAGGCATCCAGGGCAGTAAAACAGCTGCGATCGCGGAGGCTGCGGCCAGGCCGAGAGGCAGGCGGGGCAGGGGTGGCGGACGCAGGGCGCTGGGCCGGATTTCGGCCTTGGCCACAGGTAAGGAGCGGGCCAGGACGCGCTTGTCGGCGGAGCCGGCCCAGGCCGAGCGGTGACTCTGAGTTGCTTGGCCTGTAGCCCGGTCCGGTTGAGATAATTGTAATGGTTTAGGGGAACTTTCCCACGGAGCTGTGAGCAAATGATAGCCAGAAGGGCAGAGTTAGAGGAAATGTACAGTGTGTGCCGCAGGATGACATTAGGATGTATTGATTCTCTTGGGTGGGGAGAAACTAGGCGAGGGTTTAATAGAAGCAAAAACCTCTGTGGCCAGTCTCCTCTGGAGGTTTCTAGCATGAAACGTGTTTGTATCCAACACGTATAAGGAGACAGAGGAAAGTCTGCATGATTTCCAGAATACTCGTTCTGGCCGTTGTCAGAAAGGCCTAATCTAAAATGACAACAAGGAATAATGGCCTCACTCAGTCCTCTTCTCTCAAGTCTGGACTCAGTCGCTGAGGAACTATTGGATGAGCTTGCAGAAAATAATCAAGCCAGACTTGTCAGTGATTGTGTGAATTTTCCTTGGTTCTGCGTTGCTTGCTTCAGGAGTCATAGAGGCTGGGTGGCCTGGCAAGAACTTGTGCATTTGAGAACTGAGTTAACAGGTGCAGCAGAGACTTCTAAGGGGGAAGGCCAAGGTAAAAATGGCTTGGATGATTGTAACCTAAATAACCTCGAAGGATCTCCATTATAGTGCTGAGTTTATCTCAGAAGTGTTTCTATGGTGTGAATATTCTAAGTGGAAATTCAATTTGAAATGATCAGATCTTTTGGTAGGCTGTTAATCGAGTTGACTGTTCCAGTGTTAACTTTTAGTTACTTATATTTGAAAAAAAAGTTTTAAGAGTAGGATTTGAAAAGGAGGCCGGGCGCGGTGACTCACGGCTGTAATCCCTGCACTTTGGGAGGCCGAGGTGGGCGGATCACGACGAGGTCAGGAGATCGAGACCATCCTGGCTAACACAGTGAAAGTCCGTCTCTACTAAAAATACAAAAAAATTAGCCAGGCGTGGTGGTGGTGGGCGAGTCCCAGCTACTTGGGAGGCTGAGGCAGGAGAACGGCGTGAACCCGGGAGGCGGAGCTTGCAGTGAGCCGAGATAGTGCCACTGTACTCCAGCCTGGGCGACAGAGCGAGACTCCGTCTCAAAAAAAAAAAAAAAAAAAGGAAAAAAAGAAAAGGAAAACACTGACGATGAAGTATTTTAACTTAAAGGGTGTTCATTATGCATCGTGAAAGAAAGAAACAGGAACTAATATTTATTGAGAGCCTTATATGCGCCAGGCAGTGTATTAAAACTTCGTACATATCTCCCGTAATACCCACTGCAGCCCTAAGAGGCAAGTGGCAAATGGTATCCCTTTTTTGTATGTGGAGAACAGGGAATTTTAAGTAATTAGGCTAAGGTCATATTGCTAGTAAATGGTAGAACTGACATTTTATTTTATTGTTTATTTATTTTTTTGAGACAGAGCCTCACCCTGTTGCCCAGGCTGGAGTGCAGTGGCGCAATCTTGGCTCATTACAACCTCCATCTCTCGGGTTCAAGCGATTCTCCTGCCTCAGCCTCCTGAGTAGCTGGGATTACAGGTGTCTGCCACCACGCCCAGCTAATTTTCGTACTTTTAGTAGAGGTGGGGTTTCACTATGTTGGCCAAGCTGGTCTCGAGCTCCTGACCTCAAATGATCCACCCATCTCAGCCTCCCAAAGTGCTGGGATTACAGGCGTGGACCACCACGCCCAGCCTACAGCTGACATTTTAAGCAAATTATAATTCCACCAAAGTATGTTCTCTTTTTCCATATTTCTTCCACTTTTGACCAAATATTACAACATGAGAACTAGAGGGAAATTCTAGAAAAAGTAGAAGAGAAACTTTAACGGGTAGTAATTTAGAGGACTGAAGACCCTTAGGTCTGGTGGAAGTGGAAAATATACATTCCGGAGTTTTAAAACATTCATTAGTAACTAAAGATGGTTAAAGGAAGCTAGGGATGTTTAGAGACACATCCCAAACCTCTTTGAGGTTGGTGTTCACAAAGTGGCATGCTTTTCCATAGAATGTCCCTTGATACTAACCTGAAGGATCAACTAGTATAGAAAGGATGTTTAGTCCTCCCTTGATATCTGTGGGGGATTGGTTCCAGGACCCCTTGAGAATACCAAAATCCATGGATACTCAAGTCCTTTATATAAAATGGTATAGTATTTACGTATAACCTATGCATCTCCTACCATATACTTTATCTCTAGATTACTTATAATACCTAATTTAATTGTATTTTTTAAAATTGTTCTTCCCTCCAAATATGTTCAATCTGTGGTTGGTTGAATCCACAGATGTGGAACCCGTGGTTAGGGCCTACTGTACTGTTGACCTATCCTTTATGGCATTTCTCAAAATCATTTGTACCTTTCAAATTTTGTGAACTTTCATTCTTTAATTCTAAAAACATTTAATATCTTTCTTTGTTTTTTTGTTTTTTTTTTTTTTGGAGACAGAGTCTCGCTGTGTCACCCAGACTGGAGTGCAGTGGCGTGATCTCGGCTCACTGCAATCTCCGCCTCCCGAGTTTAAGCAATTTTCCTGCCTCAGCCTCCCAAGTAACTGGGATTACAGGTGTGCACCACCATGCCCAGCTGATTTTTTGGTATTTTTAGTCAAGATGGGATTTCACCATGTTGGCCAGGCTGGTCTCGAACTCCTGACCTCCAGTGATCTGACCATATTGGCCTCCCAAAGTGCTGGGATTATAGGTGTGAGCCACTGCGCCCAGCCTTTAAGAGCATTTAATTGCATTTAATTTCTTGAGCATCCATGGATTGCAAGGCATTGGACAATACCTTTGATATTAAACTGATTTCTTTAAGAAGTTTCAGTGCTGTAAATGAGATTTAGAATACTGTCCGTCCCAGAGCATCTTCAAAGAGTAGTACATATTTCCCTTTGCCGTACTCTCACCTCTGTTAATACTCAACTCACTGCATTATGGCTTCCATCCTTACCACTTCCCAGCAGTTGCCAGTAATGATTTCATCATGACCTGGCCCCTGAGGGCCTTTCCAGCCTTCTTTCTCCCACTTGAGTCTACAAACCCAATGCTCTATCATACCAGGCTCCTAAAATATGCCATTTCAGGCCTCCATGCCACACCTGTTCCTCAGTCTGCAATGCCTCTTCTCAAGTGACAAAAGTACACTACAGAAAAAAAAAAAAAAAAAATTAGGCTGGGCACGGTGGCTCATCCCTGTAATCCCAGCACTTTGGGAGGCCGAGGCAGGCAGATCACCTGAGGTCAGGAGTTCGAGACCAGCCTGGCCAACATGGTGAAACCCCATCTCTACTTAAACTACAAAAAAATTAGCTGGGCATAGTGGTGAGTACCTATAATCCCAGCTACTCAGGAGGCTGAGACAGAAGAATCGCTTGAACCCAGGAGACAGAGGTTGCAGTGACCCGAGATCACACCACTACACTCCAACCTGGGCTACAGAGCGAGACTCTGCCTCAAAAAAAGAAGTAAAATAAATATGAAGAAAAATAAAGACAAAATACCCACAATTCTACTATATAAGCTAACTACTATTTGTATGTAAATATATGTTTTTCTAAACCAAACTTGTCCAACCCATGGCCTGCAGGCCGCATGTGACCCAGTACAGCTTTGAAAGTAGCCTAACACAAATTCGCAAACTTTGTTAAAACATTATGAGATATTTTTTAGCTGATCGACTATTATTAGTGTGTTTTATGTGTGGCCCAAGACAATTATTCTTCTTCCCATGTGGCTCAGGGAAACCAAATAATTGGACACCCCTGTTAAACTTTTTTGTTTTGTTTTTCTTTATCTTTTTTTTTTTTGAGATGGAGTTTCACTCTTGTTGCCCAGGCTGGACTGCAGTGGCACTGTCTCGGCTCACTACAACCTCCACCTCCTGATTCAAGCGATCCTCCTGCCTCAGTCTCCCAAGTAGCTGGGATTACAGGCGCCTGCCACCATGCCCGGCTAATTTTTGTATTTTTAGTAGAGATGAGTTTTTACCATGTTGGTCAGGCTGGCCTCAAACTCCTGACCTCAGGTGATCTGCCCACCTTGGCCTCCGAAAGTGCTGAGATTATAGGTGTAAGCCATCGCACCCAGCCAAACCTTTTTCTTTATGTGCATTTGCTTCTGAAACAATCTGGGTTTCACCTTCATTTGTAACTTTTTTTTTTTTTTTTTTTCGTTTAGACAGGGCCTTGCTCTGTTGCCCAGGTTGTAGTGCAGTGGTGCAGTCATGGCTCACTGAAGCCTCAACCTCCTGGGCCCAGGTGATTCTCCCACCTCGGCCACTAGAATAGCTGGACTACAGGTGCACACCACCAGACTTGACTAATTTATTTATTTATTTTTGAGAGAGTCTCCCTGTGTCACCCGGGCTAGAGTGCAGTGGTGCGATCTCAGCTCACAGCAACCTCTGCCTCCCAGGTTCAAGTGATTCTCATCAACCTCCCAAATAGTTGGGATTACAGGTGTGCGCTACCATGCTGGCTAATTTTTGAAATATTTTTAGTAGAGGCAGGGTTTTACCATGTTGGCCAGGCTCGTCTCTAACTCCTGACCTCAAGTGATCTGTCTACCTCGGCCTCCCAAACTGCTGGGATTATAGGAATGAGCGTGAGACTTAGCTAATTTAAAACATTTTTTTTGTAGAGAGGAAGTCTCACTATGTTGCCCAGGCTGTGTAACCAATTTTTTAATTACTTTGAGGTTTTTCTTTTGTTATTTGTGTTTTGTTTTGAGGCATGTTTCACTGTTACCCAGGCTGGAATGCATTAGCATGATGACAGTTCACTGCAGCCTCTGCCTTGAGAGCTCAAGCGATTTTCTCACCTCATTCCTCGAGTAGCTGGGACTACAGGCACATGCCGCCAAACCCAGCTAATTTTTCTATTTTGTTTGTAGAGGTGGGTTTTTGCCATGTTGCCAAGGCTGGTCTCCAACTCTTGTGCTCAAGCAATCCACTCTCCCCAATCTCCCACAGTGCTGAGATTACAGGGGAGAGCCACCACCCTGTGTAACAATTTTTAATGGACAACAGTAGCTTTGGTTTTTATACATCGATAGTTTAATCAAAGAGTTTAACCAAATTTCACCATCATAAATAATATTGTAGCACATGTCCTTGAAACTGAATTCCTGTGCAAATTTATTTTCAATTCAGGAATTGTGCTTTATCTTGGCATAGTTATCTACTGTGGCGATATGCTTTAGTGAAGGTACATTTAATTACAGTAGGATCATTGTGAAAAGCAGTGAATGCCAAAGGAGTTTTTATATTACTTTTGCAATAATTGGTTAGCCTTTGATGATTATTGAATCCTTATATGTAACAAAAGTTCTGTTTTAGAAAGATGCTGGTGGTTTTTGGGGAGGAAAAGTAGGGAGTGGGGAGATCATTAAGACAATACCATTTAGAATAATATGGTGGGGCCGGGCGCGGTGGCTCAAGCCTATAATCCCAGCACTTTGGGAGGCGGAGACAGGCGGATCACGAGGTCAGGAGATTGAGACCATCTTGGCTAACATGGTGAAACCCCGTCTCTACTAAAAATACAAAAAACTAGCCAGGCGAGGTGGCAGGCGCCTGTAGTCCCAGCTACTTGGAAGGCTGAGGCAGGAGAATGGCCTAAACCCGGGAGGCGGAGCTTGCAGTGAGCCAAGAGCCGGCCACTGCACTCCAGCCCCGGTGACAGAGCGAGACTCGTCTCAAAAAAAAAAAAAAAAAGAATAATATGGTGGCTCTTCAGCAGGTGGGGGTAACTTGGATTGTAGTGGCTGTGGGAATCAAAGAAGGAAACACCAGGATTTGATGGCTGATAGATTTCAAGGGAAAAAGAAGGCAAAACATTAGATATCTTGTTCTTTTCAACAAGCAAGACTGGAAAAAATGTGATTGATATTAATATACAAATAGAGAAATTCAGATACCTGATGATTTTGAGATGACTATAGTCAGGGATAGGGTCAGCCTGAGGGGAGGCCTGTGAAGTAAGAATGGTCTTTATATTTTTTTAAAGTTTTTTTTTTTAAAAGAAGAATATGCAGCAGAGACCAGGATGTACCCCATAAAGCCTAAATATTTACTATCTTACTAGATACACGAAAAGTTTGTAGGACATCAAAACAGATATGTCTTCAAGGTTACAGTGAGTTATGACATAGGGCTGATGTTTAGATGAGGGACAGGACCGGAAATACAGCCTAAATGGGTTTGATGGTTGAAATATACTTTTCAAATTTCAGCTCAAATGGTCTCCCCCTTCTTTTTTTTTTTGTGAAGCCTTACCTATTTGGTAAAATGGTTACATTGTCCTCTGTGTTTTCATATAATTGGGCACATATTTTGTCACAGATATGATATCATTATATTTGTTAATGCAGAAGCTTTTTTCATATATTAGAAAACTTAATGTTCTTCAAAAAGCTATAAAATGATATATTCAATTCCATCATACACACTAGGAACAATTGGTTAGCAAAAAATTACTGCTTCTAAGCAAGTTATATGAAAGCACAGCCACCTACCTACATTTGAGAAGCAGCCTGAGAAGTGGTTCATAGCATGGATTCTGGAGGCAAAACTCCGGGATCAAATCACAGCTCTTTGTCACTTGGTAGTTGTACTACTCAGCATCTCTCTGCCCCATTTTCCTTATCAGTGAAATGGGGATGTTAATATTGCAGCTTTCCTAAGAGCGTTCTTATGAGGATTAAATTAGTTGCTTTTTGTAAAGTCTTTAGAACAGTGTCTAGCACATAGTGATTTAAGTGTTTGCTCTTATGATAATTTGTTCATGCATGAACACAAATCAATCTAAGGGTGAATGGCCTTTTTATTCATGGATTATTCTTGTTACCACTAACAGATAAATAGCTACATCTTACTCCTTCATTTTTACCTCCTTCTCATTTTCTATAGAAAACTTTTTAATAGGCCCTCAAAAAATGCTTACTGAATACTCTGTGTCAATGGACAGAGAGTTTTAGAAAACCCAACCTAAAGAAATTAAATGACTTGGGCTGGGCGCAGTGGCTCACACCTGTAATCCCAGCACTTTGGGAGGCCACAGCAGGTGGATCACCCAGGAGTTCACAACCAGCCTGGCCAACATGGTGAAACCTCATCTCTACTAAAAATATGAAGGTTAGCCGGGTGTGGTGGTGCGTACCTATAATCCCAGCTACTTGGGAGGCTGAGGCAGGAGAATCGATTGAACCCAGAAGGCAGAGGTTGCAGTGAGCTGAGATCACACCATTGTGCTCCAGCCTGGGTGACAGGAGCAAAACTTCGTCTCAAAAAAAAAAGAAAGAAAGAAATTAAATAAATGACTTGAGGACTTGTTGAAGATTTTACAGATATCTAGTGCCAGGATCCAGACTAGAACCCAAGCCTCTTGAGTTGTTCTTTATATAATGTGATCTGAATCTAATAGTACTGAATAAGAGAAAAGCAGGAGAGGTTTATAGATTTTTACTATTTATAAAATCTGATTAGTACGTATAGAATGGCAATCCATTTTGGGGTTCTCTTTTTTTTTTAAGCTTTTTTTCTCAAGGTGCAATGAAAGCCTTCCACACTTTCTGTGTTGTCCTTCTGGTGTTTGGGAGTGTCTCTGAAGCCAAGTTTGATGATTTTGAGGATGAGGAGGACATAGTAGAGTATGATGATAATGACTTCGCTGAATTTGAGGATGTCATGGAAGACTCTGTTACTGAATCTCCTCAACGGGTCATAACCACTGAAGATGATGAAGATGAGACCACTGTGGAGTTGGAAGGGCAGGATGAAAACCAAGAAGGAGATTTTGAAGATGCAGATACCCAGGTGAGGCTCTTTTTATTGCTTTCTTGGAAAAATTTGTAACTAGCACTTTTCCCAAACATTAAAATTAATCCTCATGGCCGGGTGCGGTGGCTCACGCCTGTAATCCCAGCACTTTGGGGGGCCGAGGCGGGCAGATCATGAGACCAGGAGATCAAGACCATCCTGGCTAACACGGTGAAACCCCATCTCTACTAAAAATACAGAAAAATCAGCCGGGCATGGTGGCGGGCGCCTGTAGTCCCAGCTACTAGGGAGGCTGAGGCAGGAGAATGGCATGAACCCAGGAGGCAGAGCTTGCAGTGAGCCGAGATCATGCCACTGCACTCCAGCCTGGGTGACAGAGCGATATTCCGTCTCAAAAAAAAAAAAAAATTAATACTCAGGCTCAGGAGACCTTTACTGTCTGGAATCTTCATTTTCATTCACTAGGTAGAACTCTTCTAAATGTTTTGTGGTAAGTTTCCACCTTTTACATTAACAGAATGAATTATGTTCTTCTATTGAAACCCTAACTGGAGGAGGGGTTAGAGAATAGATACTGTTTGTGGATGAGAATTGTATTATTTAGAACTTTACAATTGGCTGGGCATGGTGGCTCATGCCTGTAATCCCAGCACTTTGGGAGGCCGAGGCGGGCAGATCACCTGAGATTAGGAGTTTGAGAGCAGCCTGGCCAACATGGTGAAACCCTGTCTTTACTGAAAATACAAAAATTAGCTGGGCGTGGTGGTGCGTGCCTGCACCAGCTACTTGGGAGGCTGAGCCAGGAGAATCACTGGAACCTGGGAGTTGGAGGTTGCAGTGAGCTGAGATTGAGCCCCTGCACTTCAGCCTGGGTGACAGAGCAAGACCTTACCAAAAGAAAGAAAGAAAGAGAAAGAGAGGAGGAGAGAAGGAGAGAAAGAGAGAAAGAACTTTGCCATCAAAAGCATGGGGAGTCATCGTTTTGGTGTTTTGGGTGCCCCCCAGCTTCATTGAGCTATAACTGACAAAAATTGTATATATTTAAGGTGCACAACATAGAGTTTTGGTACATCTATACATATAATGTGAAGTGCTTACCACAATCAAGCTAATTAACATAGTTGCCTCCGTGTGTGTGTGTGTGTGTGTGTGTGTGTGTGTGTGGTGAGAATACTTAAGATCTAGTCTCTTAGTAGATTTCAAGTCTGTAATATATTAACTGTAGTCACCATGCTGTACATTAGGTCTCCAGAACTTTTTCATTTTAAGCTGAAATTTGTACCCAATTGTTTTGTTAAAAACATGTAACATCTGTGTTCTATGCTTGCTGCTTACATGTTCTGTTTTCCTCAACAAATGTTGCCAACAAAATGAGACACAGCTGCTGGTGACATTTGTAGAGGAAAACAGATGATGCCTCATTTTTGTAGGAGGGAGATACTGAGAGTGAACCATATGATGATGAAGAATTTGAAGGTTATGAAGACAAACCAGATACTTCTTCTAGCAAAAATAAAGACCCAATAACAATTGTTGATGTAGGTATCCAGGATTCCGAATTCCCAACTAAACAACAAAATGTCTTGTCATTAATCCCAGAAATATAATTAATGATGTATAACTGGTGTTAATGCAATAGTGGGAACTGAGAAAGAGCTTGACATCAGTTCTTCTGATAAAAATCACCACCTACAGAAGCAACCCCTGTTTATCATTCTAGCACTTCTAGTTTTACTTATCAATGAATAAGTAAAATTTATTCCTTGGTGATGTACAGTACATTGAATTTATTTGGGGGATTAAGGACCAAGTGTAATACAAAGGGCTTTCCAGCTTTTCATCCCATTTGATTGTCCTTATATTTCCTTAAAGAATCTTTTATAAAGCTAGCCTAGAAAAGTAAAATGGACCTATTTTTCAAAGTATAACTGTGTTCAATGACAGATATCTGAAGTATCCCTTCTGTTTATGGATTTTCTCATTCTTCCTCCCATGAGGTAGACTCCATTCAGTCTCAGCTAACATTTAATGGAATGATTTTGCTTTTTTAGGTTCCTGCACACCTCCAGAACAGCTGGGAGAGTTATTATCTAGAAATTTTGATGGTGACCGGTCTACTTGCTTATATCATGAATTACATCATTGGGAAGAATAAGAACAGTCGCCTTGCACAGGCCTGGTTTAACACTCATAGGGAGCTTTTGGAGAGCAACTTTACTTTAGTAGGTAAGTGAGGTCAATATCAGCCCAGCTTCTTGCTTGAAAACAATCTGGTAAGGATGATGTATTCCCCTCAGTATAAGCATCTAACTGGTTTCATGGAATACCAAAGAGGGTGCCTTGTTTTTTCTTTCAAGGATTCCCCCTGCTCTTCTTTTTTTAATTTTATATCATTATTATTATTATTGAGATAGAGTCTTGCTCTGTCACCAGGCTGGAGTGCAGTGGCGCAATCTCAGCTCACTGCAACCTCCACCTCCTGGGTTCAAGCGATTCTCCTGCCTCAGCCTGCCGAATAGCTGGGACTACAGGCGTGCATCACCATGCTCCACTAATTTTTGTATTTTTAGTAGAGACGGGGTTTCACCATCTTGGCCTGCATGGTCTCGATCCCTTGACCTCATGGTCCACTCACCTCGGCCTCCCAGAGTGCAGGAATTACAGGCATGAGCCACCGCACTTGGTCTTTTTATTTTTATTTTTTTGAGGTAAAGTCTCACTCTGTTACCCAGGCTTGTGTGCAGTGGTGTGATTACGGTTCACTGCAGCCTCGACCTCCCAGGTTTGAGAGACCCTTCCATCTTAGCCTTCTGAGTAGGCAGGACTATAGGCACATGCTACCACATCCAGCTAATTTTTGTATTTTTTTGTAGAGACAGAGTTTCATCATATTGTGCAGGCTGGTCTCGAACTCCTAGGCTCAAGCAATCTGCCTGCCTCAGCCTCCCAAATTGCTGGGATTACAGGTGTGAGCTACTGCATCCAGCCTTGAGGATCCTGTTTTTTGGCTGGGTGCGGTGGCTCACACCTGTAATTCCAGTGCTTTGGGAGGCCAAGGTGGGAGGATTATTTGGGGCCAGGAGTTTAAGACCAGTCTGGGCAAAATAGTGAGACCTTGTCTCTACAAATAAAATAAAATAAAAATTGGCCGGTCACAGTGGTGTGCTTCTGTGGTCCCAGCTACTCGTGAGGCTGAAGTGGGAGAATTGAACTCAGGAGTTTGAGACTGCAGTGATAGAGGATCATGCTCCTGCACTCCAGCCTGGGTGATAGAATGAGAGACCCTGTTTCTGAAAATAAGAATATATTGTATTTAATAATTTTCTCATCTTTCATGAGTCAGCAGTAAAATTGCTAAACAGCTTCTGATTAGAATAATGTAATAGATGTTTTCAAAACAAGTTGATAAAATTCTGACGGAAACCAAGAAAGTTTGACATTTTAGGTAGCTTGATAAATGCTTTCAATTCGTCTTTTAGAAACTGAAAGTCTCTCAAAATTCCCTTAGAATCTGGACACTTGAGTTTTGGATCCACTGCTGAAATATACACTGAAGGATTTCAAGGAACCTCTGTAGTTGTGCAATGTAGGGAATGAGGTGGACTAACCTCACATTCACCTATTTGGCATTTAGCACCTTATTTCTCTTTAATAGTAAGCATGTATCCACCTGCTCTGCAACACACTAGTGTTTATATATTATGCTAGATACTTTACATACAGTGTTTCTTTTTGTAACAGCACTGTCAGTTGGCTATAGTTGCTGTTTTCCTAAGGAGGAAACTGAAGGACAGAAATGTTAAAAGTTATCTAAGCTATTACATTGCAACCAAGATATCAGAACTTATCTGCCTGTTTCCAAAGTCCACCCTGTCTCCACTGTACCATAGTATTTCAGAGTATGTTTTGACCAGGAAATTCGGGGGGAAAAAAAAAGCAGCTTTGGCTCCTTCTACTTCCCCTTGCTTGTTTTCATTTGGTGTATCAGTCTGTTTTCCCTGGTGAGGTTGAGCAATTTCTTTTTTTTTTTTTTTTTTTTTTTGAGACGGAGTCTTGCTCTGTAGCCCGGGCTGGACTGCAGTGGCCGGATCTCAGCTCACTGCAAGCTCCGCCTCCCAGGTTTACGCCATTCTCCTGCCTCAGCCTCCGGAGTAGCTGGGACTACAGGCGCCCGCCACCTCGCCCGGCTAATTTTTTGTATTTTTAGTAGAGACGGGGTTTCACCGTGTTAGCCAGGATGGTCTCGATCTCCTGACCTCGTGATCCGCCCGTCTCGGCCTCCCAAAGTGCTGGGATTACAGGCTTGAGCCACCGCGCCCAGCCGAGCAATTTCTTTTGTATACTTAATGAATTAAATGAAGAGAGAAAGTATTGGAATTTGAACTTTTTTCTAGATTTAAAATACAACTCTTAATACTATTAGTAAGACCCAGTTATCATTTTGCATTGGAAAAGAAAGCTTGGTTAAAGTTAATTCATAGGAGACATAGTGAGGAATTGCTGAGTAGTTTGTATTAACAGTATTTTTTATTCACTCCATAGGAGATTTTTTTTTCTTTAACTTTTGGCAGAGATATCTCAACTGCTTTTTTTCCTATTTTGTATGTACTCTGAGAGACTTATACTCCAAGCTGATCATCGTTAAACTGACAAACATGTGCTTAGAATCCATATTTCTTCTAATAGAAACTATAGTTTTAAAAGTAAAAGGAACAGTGCTAATCTATTTTAGTCCCTGTCCAAACAGAGTTCTGTAAGACAGCAAAGTATTGCTACTCTGAAGCTATGATCATTTTGCGGTCAGGATAGAGGAACATGAGGTATTCGGCCTTGTTTTCTTTTTTTTTCTTTTTTTTTTTTTTTTTTTGAGACGGAGTCTTGCTCTGTCATCCAGGCTGGAGTGCAGTGATGCGATTTCAGCTCACTGAAACCTCCACCTGCTGGGTTCAAGCTATTCTCCTGCCTCAGCGTCCTGAGTAGCTGGAACTGCAGGTACACACCACCATGCCTGGCTAATTTTTTATAATTTTTTTTTTTTACGTAAGAGACGGGGTTTCACCATGCTGGCCAGGCTGGTCTTGAACTCCTGACCTCGTGATCTACCCTCCTCAGCCTCCCAAAGTGCTGGGATTACAGGCGTGAGCCACCGCCCCCGGCCCGGCCTTGACATTTTCTGTTGAGTCACATTAAGTGGTTTTACCCCTAGGGGATGATGGAACTAACAAAGAAGCCACAAGCACAGGAAAACTGAACCAGGAGAATGAGCACATCTATAACCTATGGTGTTCTGGTCGAGTGTGCTGTGAGGGCATGCTTATCCAGCTGAGGGTAAGTAGGAAACTTCTTGTACGATATATATCTTCCCTTAATTTTGTCCAGCTGTGATTCCCAGCCCCCCAGTTCAGCATCTTATCCCTTCATATTTAACTTAAAATGAGGTCTAAAAGTGATATTTATGCTAACTGGCAAATGTGTCGTAAAGTATATTTGATAAAGCATTTGATTCTCCTCCAAGGCCCTTTTTTTATATTAAGTAGGAGTTGCAATTGAATTTATTTGCTTCTCTCATTTTTTTTCAGTTCCTCAAGAGACAAGACTTACTGAATGTCCTGGCCCGGATGATGAGACCAGTGAGTGATCAAGTGGTATGTATTCTTCCCGCTGGTTTTCTGTGTACAGACCAAATTTTTTTTTTCTTTCTTCTTTTTTTTTTCCTTTCTTTTTTTTTGATGGCATCTCACTCTGTTGCTCAGGGTGGAGTGCAATGTCACGATCTTGGTTCACTGCAACCTCTGCCTCCCATGTTCAAGCAATTCTCCTGCCTCAGCCTCCCAAGTAGCTGAGATTACAGACGCCCACCACCACACCTGGCTAATTTTTGTGTTTTTAGTAGAGTCGGGATTTCACCATGTTGGCCAGGCTGGTCTCGAACTCCTGACCTCAAGTGATTCACTTTGGTCTCCCAAAGTGCTGGGATTATAGATGTGAGCCATCACGCTTGGCCCAAACTGAATTATTTCCTAGAGCTTTTTCCATTTCTGTCTGAATTGTGTTTTTAGTTTCTGGCAATTTATGTCCCTTGACAAAAAATGTACCCTTTTTCTCCTTGGACAGAGCATCATCTTCCACTCTGTGCAGTTGTCAGGGGGCCTTCATGGGCCTTTTGATGGGAAAGAGGTGATACTGTATCACCACACAGATCAATTGACTTAGCGTTGATGACAGAGGGCAAAGCAATTGTGACAGGTAGTGGCCCTCGTGGGTAACTTGGCTCCTTGTATATGTTTTTATCTTTGGCAGAAAGCTGGGTTTCTTCTCAAATATGTTTTGCTTCAAATAATACATTTCTGGCTGAATAAGCTCCAGTCATGATCTGAGGACCTTATGTTTGGTATATCTTCTTTCCTTTATTAAATCAGTATGTTGGCCGGGTGCGGTGGCTCAAGCCTGTAATCCCAGCACTTTGGGAGGCCGAGACGGGTGGATCACGAGGTCAGGAGATCGAGACCATCCTGGCTAACACGGTGAAACCCCGTCTCTACTAAAAAATACAAAAAACTAGCCGGGCGAGGCAGCAGGCGCCTGTAGTCCCAGTTACTCAAGAGGCTGAGGCAGGAGAATGGCGTGAACCCAGGAGGCGGAGCTTGCAGTGAGCTGAGATCCGGCCACTGCACTCCAGCCTGGGCGAGAGAGTGAGACTCCGTCTCAAAAAAATAAAAATAAAATAAAATAAAATAAAATAAATCAGTGTGTTTATCTGCAAATTGTGTCCTTTCTCACAAATACTACTTTCCTTCTTTCTTCATTGTTTCTTTTTTTTTGAGACAGAGTCTTGCTCTGTTGCCAGGCTGGAGTGCAGTGGCGCAATCTCAGCTTACTGCAATCTCAGCCTCCTGGGTTCAAGCAACTCTTCTGCCTCAGCCTCCTGGGTAACTGGAACTACGGGCGCACACCACCACTGCTGGCCAATTTTTGGTATTTTAGTAGAGACGGGGTTTCACCATGTTGGCCAGGATAGTCTCAATCTCCTGACCTCGTGATCCGCCCGCCTTGGCCTCCCAAAGTGCTGAGATTACAGGTGTGAGCCACCGCACCTGGCCTCGTCATTCTTTCAACAAATAATTGTGCTGGCTCCCACTGCTACAAGAAACAAAAATATATAAGACAGTTTTTTCTTTTCTATAATAGAAAAAGAGAGATAGATACGTATATGTGAAAGTATGAAATAGTATTTGGGTTGTAAGTATTTTGTTAGTAATGTAAATTAGGTACTTTGAAATGGTATTGGATTGAAAATAATATGTGTGTGTGTGTGTGTGTGTGTGTGTGTGTGTGTATATATATATATATATTTTTTTTTTTTGAGATGGAGTCTCACTCTATCGCCTAGGCTGGAGTGCAATGGCTTGATCTCGGCTCACTGCAACCTCCACCTCCCGGGTTCCAGTGATTCTCCTACCTCAGCCTCCCAAGTAGCTGGGATTACAGGTGCCTGCCACCACACCCAGCTAATTTTTGTATTTTTAGTAGAGACGGGGTTTCGCCATGTTGGTTAGGATGGTCTCGAACTCCTGACCTCAGGTGATCCACCCGCCTCGGCCTCCCAAAATGCTGGGATTGCAGGCAAGAGTCACCGCGCCCGGCCCCACTGTTATATTTTAAAGGTCTCATTTTTACTTGTAAACCTGTAATTTTATTTTAATTTTTCTAATATGGCCATGATGACTTAGTCCACTAAAATTTAGAGCCCTATCAGTTAATATTTCTGTCATCCTTTCTCCCACCAACCACCGTCTTATGAGGAGGAAAGTTTGCTGTATCCTCAGCCATCTTTTTGTAGAAATTATTCTTTAAAAGCATTTTAGTCATTTTCAGCTCTCTTTCTCTGTCTCTCTCCTTCTGCTAAGAGAAATTGCTTTAACAAATACATGGCTCTTTATATTTTATTTGCCCCTTTTTTTAAATTCTGTTTAAGGTTTGCTTTGTGTAACTTCCCATCAGTGATGGAAGAGCAGAAAATGTTTTCTTTTACAGCTGCCATCTTACCAGTTCTTTTCTTATATTAATGTTTTCCTTCTTCCATATACTAAAAATTATTTCACCCAAGCATTTAAAGATATAATTATTAATATAACAAATATATCATATCAGACTCTTTTTTTTTTTTTTTTTTTTTTTTTGAGATGGAGTCTCGCTCTATCGCCCAGGCTGGAGTGCAGTGGTGCGATCTCAGCTCACTGCAAGCTCTGCCTCCCGGGTTCATGCCATTCTTCTGCCTCAGCCCCCAGAGTAGCTGGGACTATAGGCTCCCACCACCACACCCTGCTAATTTTTTGTATTTTTAGTAGAGACGGGGTTTCATCGTGTCAGCCAGGATGGTCTCGATCTCCTGATCTCGTGATCCGCCCGCCTCGGCCTCCCACATATCAAGACTCTTTTAGGCTTATAATGTTTTATCTTTCTGGCCCAGTCAGAGTACTAGTAACTGTTTACTTGTCTGGGCTGTTTTCCAACACAAACAGCCAATTCTCAGATTCTCTGGATACCAACTGGGTATTCCACAATTGAATTCAATAATAATTCTTTTTAATTTTGTAAATTTAAGTTGTTTTTTTTTTCCTAGAGACCGAGATTTGCTATGTTGCCCAGGCAGTTCATGAAGTCCTGGCCTTAAGTGATCCTCTCACCTGGGCCTCCCAAAGTGCTGGGATTACAGGCATGAGCCACTGTGCCCAGGCTCAATTCAATTCTGACCCTATCTACCTGGAGTTAGCTTCAAATCCTAGAGATTAAAGGGCTCAGCCCCACAAGACTGCCCTCTTCAGATGCATTCGAATGTCCCAGGTTACCCATACTGCCATCTGGATTTCTGACCAACTAACTATTAATCAGGGGTTCCTGTGACCTCCCCTCTCAACCAGTAATTTGTTAGATGGCTCATAGAACTTGAAAAGACACTTATATTTACTGGTTTATTATAAGGGGAATTGGGAACCACTGTCAACTGGGAACCACTGTCACCTGGGAACCACTCAGTTCCTAAAGGCCACCCTTCGGTCCTTACCATATGTCCCCCACCCCCAACTTTCCCATAAGCCCTTTCACATTTTGACTTTCTTCTTCAAGTAGGGCTATAGTTCCTTTTAAGGACTTGCTTGATTAGGTTGGGTACACTCAAGATAATGTCCCTTTTGGTTAATTCACAGTCAGCTGATTAGGGACCACCTGCCATAAAACAGTCTGATTATGGGGGTAATATTCCATCATATTTGCAAATCCCAATCACTTAAAGGGAGAGTATATGCATCAGCCGGGAGGGAATCTTAAGGGTCATTTAGAAATCTGCCTATCACAGAACCTAACAGGTGAATTTTTTTGTTTACATTTTTTTTAAAAGCAAATAAAAGTAACCATGAATGATGAAGACATGGATACCTATGTATTTGCTGTTGGCACACGGAAAGCCTTGGTGCGACTACAGAAAGAGATGCAGGATTTGGTATGTTAGGTTGCTCCAACTCAAATATATGTAGAACTGTGTCTCTTTAGCACACACATATACAGCTTCATCGCATAATAAAAGGTCATGTCTTACTTCCAATTACTTCTTCCTCTAGAGTGAGTTTTGTAGTGATAAACCTAAGTCTGGAGCAAAATATGGACTGCCAGACTCTTTGGCCATCCTGTCAGAGATGGGAGAAGTCACAGACGGAATGATGGATACAAAGGTAAATGTTACAGAAGACATACATTTGCCAGGCCTTGGCATTTACAGGACACTCTCCCTAAAAGTCTCATTGTACAAGTTCATCATTTTATGTCAGTGTACTAGTTTTACATTCCTTTCTCACACAAATATTAAAATACCTTCTTTAAGCAATACATTGGCTTGTCAAAAGGACAATTTGATTAGTCAACAAGTTCTCTAAATCAAGAGCAAATTGTTCCTGGGATTGCTAATGACTTTCAGGTTTTTTTAAAAAAGAATATAACTTCTGATCTTTTTCATCATATCATTTGGTCTTTTTTTTTTTTTGAGCTCCAGTTTGTGTAGGAGAAGAGGGATGTGTAGAGATTCCTCCTCCTTTGTTTTTAAAAAGATGGGGTCTTGAGATGTTGCCTAGGCTGGAATGCAGTGGCTATTCATATGTGTGATCAGAACTCACTGCAGCATCAAACTTCTGGGCTCAAGTGTTCCTCCTGCCTCAGCAAGAGCCCACCATTGTGCCTAGCTGAGAGAGCCATTTCTTTCTATTGGTTGTGTAATGGTAACAGATCTTAGTATCATTAGCATACAGGATAATTCAGAGATGGTTATAAATGTAAGTTCAAGGTGACATGTTTATAAAGGATCCCCTGAAATTATTTTAGATCCCCTGAAATTATTTATCTTTATGCCTTCATTCTTGTTTCGAACGTTATTTTGAGAAATAGTTTTAGTTGCTCGATAAGAATCTTAATCATTGGTATGACTAAAAAGGAGTACGACTTTTTTTTTTTCTTTTTCTTAGTAGAGATGGGGTTTCGCTATGTTGGCCAGGCTGGTCTGGAATTCCTGGCCTCAAGTGATCCACCCACCTTGGCCTCCTAAAGTGCGTGGATTACAGGCATGAGCCACTGCGCCCATCCTGGAGGAGTACTATAATTCTAAAGAGATTCTTTATCTTATTGAAATTTAATTTTTAAAAAGCTTTAGTCTTGTCCGCATGCTGTGGTTCACACTTGTAATCTCAGTACTTTGGATGGTGGAGGCAGGAGGATCACTTGAGTCCAGGGATTCAGGACTGGCCTGGACAACATAGTGAGACCCTGTCTCCACAACAAAAAAACTAGCCAGGTGTGGTGGTGTGTTCCTTTAGTCCCAGCTACTCAGGAGACTGAGGCAGGAAGATCACTTGAGCCCAGGAGATTAAGGCTATGGTAAGCTATGATTGCACCACTGCACTCCAGCCTGGGCAAGAGAACAAGACCCTGTCTCAATAAATAAATAAATAAATAAATAAAAAACAATTAACATGCTTTGGTCTTAATGAATGGCATTGTACAAAAGTAAGGATTGAAAGGTGAATTTCTTTTTTTTTGTTTTGTTTTTGTTTTTGAGACAGTCTTGCTCTGTCTCCCAGACTGGAGTACAGTGGCGTGGTCTCTGCTCACGGCAACCTCCACCTCCCGGATTCAGACGCTCCTCATGCTTCAGCCTCTTGGATAACTGGGGTTACAGGCACATGCCACCATGCCCGGCTAATTTTTTTGTATTTTTAGTAAGAGACGGGGTTTCACTGTGTTGGCCAGGCTGATCTCAAATTCTCAAACTCCTTGCCTCAGGTGATCCACCTGCCTCCCAAAGTGTGGGGATTACTAGCGTGAGCCACTGTACCCAGTCTCTAAGAGTGAATTTCTTTATGAAAAAAGGGAAATGCATTAAACCCTGCTTTTAAAAAATATTATTTTCTTTTTTTCAGATGGTTCACTTTCTTACACACTATGCTGACAAGATTGAATCCGTTCATTTTTCAGACCAGTTTTCTGGTCCAAAAATTATGCAAGAGTACGTATAAGATAAAATTGTTGAAATTAATTTTCCTCACTAGCTTTCTGTGTTGAAACACCTGTAAGGTGCTTCTGCAATATCCCTTACCAAATGTGTGAAGGGAGTTGATGACAGGCCTCCTCCATGTTTTCCTTTGCTTTGACTGCATGCATCATGAGAGGTCATTGTAAACCTATGGGAGAGAAATGAGCCTCCCCTGTCCCAGTTTGTATGTGTCCCTGCATGTTTGCACCAATGACTCAGTGAGGTGGTTGGGAATCTTACAGAATGGCTGGTACTAATAAAATGCAGTGGGTTTTTGTTTTTGTTTTTTTGAGACGCTGTCTCGCTCTGTCGCCTAGGCTGGAGTGCAGTGGTGCAATCTTGGTTCACCGCACCCTCCGTCTCCCGAGTTCAAGCGATTCTCCTGCCTCAGCCTCTTGAGTAGCTGGGATTACAGGCACGCACCACCACGCTTAACTAATTTTTGTATTTTTAGTAGAGACGGAGTTAATCACTATGTTGGTCAGGCTGGTCTTGAACTCCTGACCTCGTGATCCACCTGCCTTGGCCTCCCAAAGTGATGGAATTATAAACGTGAGCCACCATGCCCCAGTCCATAGGTTCTTTTTTTTGTGATGATAATTTGTGTGTGATGTTTGACTTACATCTGATTGCAAATCTGTGTGTCCTGTAATTTATGGCCTTTTCTGGCTTCCCTCTTTGAATAGTTAGGTGATTGTTTCCTTTCCTAGCATAGATGCCCACAATGCCCATAAGATTTCTAGCTTTATAGTAATACTGTTCAGGAGTACATATTCAGGACTTGGATTTGTTCTTTGAATTCACAGCCTGTCTCAGGAGAGCTTATTTATTTACCTTTATCCTTGGTTTGAAACTGGTTCTGACTAAATTTTTAGTTAAAGACTACCCTCTGATAGGCTGTGGAGTTCAGCACAATTCAAGTTAATCTGGATTTTAGTTGTGTACTAAGATTACTCAGGTCCTTATGCCTCTAGATAGTGCTGCATCATCCTTGTCTTGCTCAACTCAATGGCACTGAGGACAATGTTTCACATTGTAGCATTCATTGTGCCTTTTAAATATGGGATGGAGGGCAATTGATAGTCAAAGGATTGATACAGGCAGAGATTACAAAGGAATCTTCAGTGACAGAACTAAATTATATATGCTATAGTAGATTATCCCTAAATTTATTCTGAGCCTAACTCAAAAGTAAGATAATAAGATATCTTGCTATAGGAAGATAGGAGTTGGAAATAAAACATAAAAATCCATCAAAATAAGCAAAAATGTTATCTAAAATATGGGCCTCATACTTAAATATAGGCTCATTTCTGGCTCCCCAGGTGAGATGAAATATACCCTTGCCTGGAGGGAACATCACTGGAGGTGTTCAAGTATAGGATAAAGATCACTTGAGAATGCATCCATCAGATAGACGAGTGGACCAGATGACCTGTAAAGCTCCTGCGGGCTCTGAGATTATATTTGACTTGGGGATGCCAAGCCAAATACTGTGCTGATTATGTGCAGGTATCCGTTCATCTAAGTGTATTGGGTGACTTGTGTACATGGAAAACATCTTTCTTGTATTCCTTCTTAATTGCCTTTTCTTTTGTGATAGGGAAGGTCAGCCTTTAAAGCTACCTGACACTAAGAGGACACTATTGTTTACATTTAATGGTAAGTATTCTGGGTCCTTTCTGGGTTCTTAGTCTTCTCTGAGATGACCTTAAGGAGAGTATTGTTTCCTCCTAAATGATAACTTTAAAACTACATCAAAACTATAACCCTATGCTTGCTTACTGATGTCCAGATTTCTTCAAGAAGAAATTACCTTTTATATATTTTAATTTATATTTTCTGCTGCATTTTAACTGCCTAAGAAACTTAGAGAAATGAGTCTGTTAAGATTTAAAAAAAAAAAAAAAAAAAAAAAAAAAAGAGTTGGGTGACCTAGAAATATTAATGCTACCATTAACTCAGTAGGAAAAATGGCTTTGTTTTCCAGTGCCTGGCTCAGGTAACACTTACCCAAAGGATATGGAGGCACTGCTACCCCTGATGAACATGGTGATTTATTCTATTGATAAAGCCAAAAAGTTCCGACTCAACAGAGAAGTAAGACCCAATGCCTATATTATATAAATTGGCACCTTTTTTTGTTTCTTCTCAAGGGGAGGGCAGCTATCAATGATTTCAGTGACTGAATCTTTGCTGGTTGATTTAGAAGTGCCAAATGGGAGTAATTTTATGAAAGAATGCTAAATGGGATTTTGCTGCTGTTGACTAGAAGTGGATTTCTTATAAACACTTTGTTTCTTGGGGAAGGGCAAACAAAAAGCAGATAAGAACCGTGCCCGAGTAGAAGAGAACTTCTTGAAACTGACACATGTGCAAAGACAGGAAGCAGCACAGTCTCGGCGGGAGGAGAAAAAAAGAGCAGAGAAGGAGCGAATCATGAATGAGGAAGATCCTGAGAAACAGCGCAGGCTGGAGGTTAGACAAACTTGTCTTATCACTGGGGTAAAACTACGATTTGTAAGGATGCCTGCTTGTGTTCTATTGGTTGTTAAAGTAATCTTTGTAGGCTAAAAGTTTAGCATTTTCTAAACATTTGGGACATTATGTCAATTGATAACACTATAAAGAAGAATAAATAATCCTTCCTGTTCAAGCCGTGCCACACTGAGTCTGTGAACATGAAAAATTATCAGTATTATCCTGTTCCTCCAGCACAGTTTCATTTTGAAAATTCCCTTATCAGTTTTCAAGCCAAACACTTTGGTGGAAAAAAATTAGAAATTTTAATAGAAGGCAGCACATGTGCCCTATTATCTAAATAAACTTGTTATGTAAAATTTAAAATCTGATTATAGAATTAGAGATTTCCAATATTTTTGTTTGTATTTTTGTTTTCTGTTTTTTACCTAACTAGAATCTCAAACTCAAAAGCTTTTTGGGTATAGTATGTTATATTTGAAAGCTCAGTATGATCTGATGTGTTTCTGAAATAAGATGCCATAGTTCAGCTCTAAATTTTTTTTTTTTTTTTTTTTTTTTTTTTTTTTTTGAGATGGAGTCTCGCTCTGTCACCCAGGCTGGAGTGCAATGATGCAATTATTGGCTCACTGCAATCTCTACCTCCCGTGTTGAAGCCATTCTCCTGCCTCAGCCTCCCAAGTAGCTGGGACTACAGGTGTGCACCACTCAGTTCTAAAATTTTAGACCTTGTAAATGCTGGTCAAAAAAGAGAACAAAGGCCAGGTGCAGTGGCTCACACTTGTAATCCCAGCACTTTGGAAGGCTAAGGCAAGCAGATTGCTTGAGCCCTGGAGTTCAAAACAAGCCTGGGCAACATCATGAGACCTTGTCTCTACTAGTAAAAAAAAAATTAGCTGTGCATAGTGGTGCACACCTGTAGTCCCAACTACTTGGGAGACTGAGGTGAAAGGATTACTTGAACCTGGGAGATTGAGGCTGCAGTGAGCTATGATCACACCACTGCACTCTAGCCTGGGCAGCCAAAAAAAGAGAGGGAGAGGACAGGCCGGGCGTGGTGGCTCACGCCTGTAATTCCAGCACTTTGGGAGGCCGAGGCAGGCAGATCATGAGGTCAGGAGTTTGAGACTAGCCTGACCAACATGCTGAAACCCTGTCTCTACTAAAAACAAAAAAAATTAGCCCGGCATGGTGGTGTGCTCCTGTATTCCCACCTACTCAGGAGGCTGAGACAGGAGAATTACTTGAACCCGAGAGGCAGAGGTTGCAGTGAGCAGGGATCGAGCCACTGCACTCCAGGCTGGGTGACAGAGGGAGACCCCGTCTCAAAAAGAAAAAAGAGGGAGAGGACAAAGTTCTGGAAGATGTGAATTTTAATGAGAATAATCTTGAGATAATTGAAGAATATTCTTAGGAGTAAAGGGGTCATGTGTTCAAGAAAATGTGAGCTGAAGGCCGGGCGCGGTGGCTCAAGCCTGTAATCCCAGCACTTTGGGAGGCCAAGACGGGCGGATCACGAGGTCAGGAGATTGAGACCATCCTGGCTAACACAGTGAAACCCCGTGTCTACTAAAAAATACAAAAAAACTAGCCGGGTGAGGTGGTGGGTGCCTGTTGTCCCAGCTACTCGGGAGGCTGAGGCAGGAGAATCACTTGAACCCGGGAGGCGGAGCTTGCAGTGAGCTGAGATCCAGCCACTGCACTCCAGCCTGGACAACAGAGTGAGACTCCGTCTCAAAAAAAAAAAAAAAAAAGAAAATATGAGCTGCTATGCGGGCTTGCATTTGACAGTGGTGTCATTAATGCTGTTGAGTGAAATGCCCAGGATACTGCAGGCCTGTCATCATCATCTTACCCCTTTAATCATGTTTTTGTTTTATTTGGCTTGGTTTAGTGATAGATATTTTTCCCCCGAAAATGTAGCTCTGTGTTTATGCGGTCTTCTTTATAAATAAATATGGCTTTTTAAGGTGTACGTGTGAAGAATCTAGAAAGGAATCATTAATAGGTAATGCCTTTCATTTTTCTATAAAAAAGGAAGTTCTACATTTCTTTCTAAGGTTTTAAACTATAATGAGTTAAAGGAAGAGGGAGCCTGAAACTTAACTTGAGTCAGATTGTAAACTTCTTATAGATATAAATCATTTAATTTTTTTGAACTACCACTTTATAGTATTTGGTCTGGGTACCTTGTAAAAAGATCTGGTGAACTCAATAGAACAACCCACCCAACCCATTCTACCAGTGTATGGTATGAAAGCTCCTTTTTTTCTTTTAATTTATTTTTATTTTTATTTTTGAGACAGAGTCTTGCTCTGTTGCCCAGGCTGGAGTATAGTGGCACAATTGTAGCTCGCTGCAGCTTCAAACTCCTGGGCTCCAGCCATCCTCCCATCTCAGCCTCCTAGTATGCTGGGAATACAGGTGTGAACCACTGTGCCCAGCCAGAGAGCTCCTTTTTACTCACATCTTTTCAAAAACTAGTTATTAATTTTTTTTTTTTTTGAGACAGAGTCTCGCTCTTTCACCAGGCTGGAGTGCGGTGGCGCCATCTCAGCTCACTGCAGCCTACGCCTTCCAGGGTCAAGTGATCCTCCTGCCTCAGCTTCCCTAGTAGCTGGGACTACAGGTGCCTGCCACCACGCCCAGCTAATTTTTGTATTTTTAGTAGATATGGGGTTTCACCATATTGGTCAGGATGGTTTCGATCTCTTGACTTCATGATCCGCCCGCCTCAGCCTCCCAAAGTGCTGGGATTACAGGCGTGAGCCACCATGCCAGGCCCTTTTTTTTTTTTTCCTGATTCTGGTAGTGACGAAATGGTATCCCCCTTGTTTTGTATTTTTTGAATTTTTTTTTTTTTTTCCAGACATACTCTTGCTGTGTTGCCCAGGGGGAGTGCAGTGGCGTGATCTCAGCTCACTGCAACCTCTGCCTCCCGGTTTCAAGCGATTCTCTTGTCTCAGCTGGGAATACAGGCACCTGCCACCATGCCTGGCTAATTTTTGTATTTTTTTAGTAGAGATGGAGTTTCACCATCTTGGTCAGGCTGGTCTCAAACTCCTGACCTTAGGTGATCCACCCGCCTCGGCCTCCCAAAATGCTGGGATTACAGGTGTGAGCCACTGTGCCCAGCTATTTTCTGAATTATTATTGAAGTTGAACATTTTTCACATGTATTGACTTAAATATCTCTCAAATGTGCTAGCATAAATATATTTATCTTTTTTTTTTTTTTTTTGAGACAAACTCACTCTATCGCCCAGGCTGGAGTCAGGCTGAGTGCAGTGGCACAATCTTGGCCTACTGCAACCTCCGCCTCCCAGGTTCAAGTGATTCTCGTGCCTCAGCCTCCCAAGTAGCTGGGATGACGGGTGCCCACCACCACACCCGGCTACTTTTTGTATTTTTAGTAGAGATGAGGTTTCACTACTGGCCAGGCTGATCTCGAACTCCTGATCTCCTCAAGTAATCCATCCACCCTCAGCCTCCCAAAAAGAGCAGGCGAGGTCACCACACATTGGCCAGGCGGGTCTCGAACTCCTGATCTCCTCAGAAGTAGCCCACCAGTCCAGCCACTGCACCTGGCCAATATTTTAAGTATGATACTGCATTCTGTGTATCGCTATTTTGCTACATGTGTGTATATGTAATATGAGATAGGGATGGGTAAAAAGGGGGAAAAGAATGAATGTGGTGAAGGTAGGGGTTGGAAACAATGGAAGAAAGATATTTAATGGAACCTGGAGGGGAGGGAACAGCAGTCAGGATTGTGCCACTGCACTCCAGCCTGGGCTATAGAGTGAGTTTGTCTCATAAAAAAAAAGAGAGATAAATATATTTGATGCTAGCACATTTGAGATATTTAAGTCAACACATGAAATGGGTTCAATCAATAATATTTCAAAACAGGAAAATCTACCTCAAAAAAAAAAAAAAAAGAAAAGAAAGAACTAAGACAGGCTGGGCGCAGTGGCTCATGCCTATGCAATCCTAATACTTTGGGAGGCCGAGGCAGGTGGATCACTTGAGGTCAGAGTTCAAGACCAGCCTGGCCAACATGGTGAAACCTTATCTCTACTAAGAATATATAAATTTAGCCAGGTGTGGTGGCACACACCCGTAATCCCACCTACTTGGGAGGCTGAGGCAGGAGAGTCATCATCCTGGGCACAGAGCAAGACTGTATCTAAAAGAAAAAAACCTGGCCAGGCACTTTGCCTACACCTGTAATCCCAGCACTTTGGGAGGCCATAGTGGATGAATTGCTTGAGGTCAGGAGCATGATCAGCCTGGCTAACATGGTGAAACCCCGCCTGCTAAAAGTACAAAAACACTTGGGTGTGGTGGCAGGTGCCTGTAATTCCATGCTACTTGGGAGGCTAATGCAGGAGAATGGCTTGAACCCAGAAGGTGAGCTGCAGTGACCTTTTCGAAAGATTATGCCACTGCACTCCAGCCTGGGTGACAGAACAAGACCCCATCTCAAAAAAATAAAGAAAAGCTCTAAGACAGCCAGCATGTATGTTCCTAAAACCAGGAATCTTACAAATCACCCTTGAAACCTAATTTGTTCCGTTCATGAAGAACTATACATGCTTTGTTTCTTTTCTTCTCTTCCTCATTTTCTCCATCCCCACCAGCTGAGGAGTGAGTATCTCTGAGTACATTTTTACCCCAGTACCCTTATAAAAATGTGAAGTTTGAGATTGTAGCTGAAATAAACTTTAATCAAGTGTGACCGCTTAGTGGCCACAGGAAGCTAAGTACTTTCTTTGACTTGACCTCTGAAAGCCTTCAGTCCAGTAATAATTCAAACTTCTTCCTCTCTATATAATCTCCAATTCCTAACAAATATGAGAATTTGATGATTTTTATCATGATTTGATAAATATGATAAAAATATGATAATGTCTCAAATATGGTATGAATTTAAGCATTGTATGCAGATATGCTGTCCAAAAGCACAAGAAATTTGCAGGTGCCGGCGCGTGGCTCAAGCCTGTAATCCCAGCACCCTGGGAGGCCGGCGGATCACGAGGTCAGAAGATCGAGACCATCCCGGCTAACACAGTGAAACCCCGTCTCTACTAAACTACAAAAATCAGCATGGAGCAGGTGGCGGCGCCCAGTCCCAGCCTACCCGGGAGGCTGAGCAGTGGAGAATGAGATGATCCCGAGGCGGAGGGCCAGGCGAGGCGGAGATCCGCACTCCAGCCTGGGCGACAGATAAGACTCAGCCTCAAAAAAAAAAAAAAAAAAAAAAGAAATTCTTGAAATGAATAACCTGATGGGAACAAGATTCTTAAAATTCAGCTGAGCTGAAGAATGTGTCTTTTTGGCAGTTATACATTTGCTATATAATCCCACCGCGAATGGCGCGGTAACATCAGGCCAAGGTTTCCTGACAGCAGAAAAAATCAAAACCAGAATAACAAAAAGCCTAGTTAATTGCAGTTTCTAAACTGAGATTTATCATCTTTGGTTTGAGCTTCCAGTTTACTTAATTTAAACACTAATGTATTATTATAAATTATTTCCTTATAGTCCATCTTTGAATGTTATTTATGGTAAGCTAAGTTTTTGAATAATACTATAGGCAGTAGTATCTCTTACTGGATTTTTTTAAGATATGTTTCAGCTGAATTAAATCTCTCTCATCTCTCGCCCTTCTCTTTTATTTGTTATGCCTTCTTTTCTCTAGGAAGCTGCATTGAGGCGTGAGCAAAGAAGTTGGAAAAGAAGCAATAAATGAAAAGTCAAATTCAAAGAAACATGTGAGCTTATCCCAGAGATTTGAGTTCTTTTTTTTTGAGACGGAGTCTCGCCTCTCTATCTCCCAGGCTGGAGTGCAGTGGCCGGATCTCAGCCACTGCAAGCTCCGCCTCCCGGGTTTACGCCATTCTCCCTGCCTCAGCCTCCATAGCTGGGACTACAGGCACCACCTCGCCCGGCTAATTTTTTTGTATTTTTAGTAGAGACGGGGTTTCACCGTGTTCGGCCAGGATGGTCTCATCCTCCTGACCTCGGATCCGCCTGCCATGCCTCCCAAAGTGTGACGGCAGCTCTGAGCCACCACGCCCGGCCGAGGACGGAGTTCTGATGCCACCTGTAAGCTCCGAATTCATATAAAGTTAAGGAAAACGCTATCCATTTCTCAACCTTAAATTCTCATGACAGTCTTGAAGTAAATCGAGAAACTTTATTTCATCATCTACTCTGTTTGTGGTTTGAGTTCTTACAGAGGTTGTATATAACCTTGAAAGGGCTCTGTTTCAAGAATTTGTTTTCCAGATAATCAAATTATTTTGATTATTTTATAAAAGGAATGATCTATGAAATCTGTGTTTTTCTACATTTTAAAATTATAATACGAATCAACAGTGCTTTTAGTACTTCAGCGTTTGAAGAAATACTAAGGCGAAATTTATAGGTAGATAAATCAGATTGTTGCTTTTTATTTAAAACTGCATGAAAGGAAATGGCTATAAAGACTTAGACTCTAAAACAAGATTCTGCAAATAATGATTGGAATTGCACAATAAACATTGCTTGATGTTTTCTTGTATGTCTACATTAAACTTGAGAAAAGTAAAATTAGGAACACCGTATGTGGTAATGAAATTCCAGACCCAGAACATAATGCAGTGTATGTTTTTGTGTGGGAGATGCTGATAACAGAATTAATAGGAAGTCCAGGCAGTAGGATACTGACATGTACATGGAAAATTTGTGGAGCCAGGAATTTCTAGGGACAGGAGCATCGCTTTTCCTTACCTGATACCACAAACCAGTGATACAACGTGAATGCTGTATTTAAGTGGTTGTATGTTTATTTTGAGTAACAAATGCATGAAAAATTAATGCCTACCTAGGTAAGATCATTGGTCTAATGGAAGTCACAAAATGTTTTTTCCTCTTGGTTGCTGCAGCTCATGGATGTCTCATGGGAGAAGCTCTGTTCTCTATATTATGGCTGTGTGCCTTTGCTTCTCCCTCTGCTTTTATTTTTTCCATAGCTGAGGCTGGTATGTTCTCTCAAAGAAATGGCCAAGAATATGTATAAGTATACTTTGAAAATGAGCTTTCCTAAACTATTGAGAGTTCTTCCCCGCCTGCCGGGCAACTCTTGGAGGAGAGGTCATGTATCTGCAATGAGTACCCCGCTTGTTCAGATGTCTGCATTTTATAAATGCTTCTTACTAAGAGAAAGCATTTTAGGCTATTGTTGTACCTGGTGTAATTTTTGGGCTGGGATGGTAAGGGTTGGGGTTTTCTGTGAGTGGGGTGGTGGGTATTTTTGGTTCATGCTTAGTGCAGGCTCTTGTTCTGAGTAAATACAATGTTGCTGTGGAAAACAGCATGCTGCCTTTGTAACTGTAATAATGAAACTTTTCACATGGGTTTTTCTCCGGTTAATACAGAAATATGTAAACTGAGATGCAAATGTAATACTTTTTAACAGTTCATGGGGTTATTATTAAAATAACAAAAATAATAAAACTTAATTACCTTAATATTATATAATTGTAGTATTAGCCTTGTTTTACAAACCTTTAAAATACATTTTAGAAATCAGGTTGATAGTCTTAGTTATCTTTGAGTGTAAGAAAAGCTTTCCTAAAGTCCTATATGTTTGGACCATGGCAGCTAATTTTGTAATTTAAGCATTCATATGAACTACCTATGGACATATATTAAAGTGATTGACAAAATCTCAGCGTGCCGCCTTGACTTTCTGGAGTTATCCTACAAGAGTATAAGCTCAGAGGAAAGTTCTTTCTGTCTATCAGTGTCAGCACTGAAGTGCTTCTTCTTTCAAAAGAGTTAATCCGAATATTGCTTTGTTGTTACCAATCATTTTTTAAAATATTTTATATTTTAGAGCCTCTATATGTTATTTATGGCCCTCAAGTCTCTCGGAGTTAAGATCACTAGCCTCCCGTGAATGCGAGGACAAAGAGAGGAAGATGTTGTTTATGTCACACACTGAAAACTAATAAGTTCTGACCCGTTTACTTGTTTGGATGTTTAGCAATGCCAAAATAAGTACTGGACTGTAAGACAAAAGACCTGGCTTTTAGTGCCAGAACTAATTACTAACCTTGACTTTTGGGCAAGTTAATAACCTAATGTGAAATGAGGATACTACCTTATATGCCTGCCTACTTCTTACAGGTAGTTGAACACTAAGAGATAATATTATATATGTAAGATTGTTTTGTAAACTGTTTAAGCACTTTTATAGAAGTATAAGGCATCATCTAGGACTGGTCTCAAGTGATGCATTCTTGCTTTACCCTCTTTGATTTTCTTTCTCCCAATGGAAACTACAAGCAGATTCTTTCAGAGTTCTCTATCTGCAAAAATTGATAGGGTATTTTGAGGAAGAGGAGAAGCAGATCTCTGTTTCCTAGTACAGGGGAAACCTTCCTGTGGAAGACCAGATGTGAAACTCCCTTTTTTTTTTTTTTTTTTTTGAGTCAGAGTCTCACTCTGTCACCCAGGCTGGAGTGCATGATGCAGTTTGGCCTACGGCAAACTTCCATCTCCTGTTCAAGTGATTCTCCCACCTCAGCCTCCCAGTAGTTGGGACTACAGGCTGCCACCATGCCCTGCGTTAATTTTTTTGTATTTTTAGTAGAGACTGGATTTCACCACAAGAAGCAAAGATGGTCTTGATCTCCTGACCTTGTGGTCCACCCACCTTGATGCCCCAAAGTGCTGGGATTACTGGCGTGAGCCACCGCGCCCAGCCCTAACAACTTTCTTTAGATGGAATTTAGACCAAAGAAAAACATTGATTTCTTATTCTACCCATTTGATAGGAATTGGCAATGTGAAGATTGTTTAGAATTGTGTTGTACAAGAATCCAGCAGATTTGCAGAAAAGGTGAAATAGCGTACTTTATCCTCCCCCAGGTTCTCATTCCTTACCATCTCTTGCCTCCCCATTTTGAATGATGGAAAGGATATGAGAGAGACAAGAGGCCAGGCGCCGTAGCTCATGCCTGTAATCCCCACACTTTGGGACGCCGAGGCAGGCAGATTACATGAGGTCAGGAGTTCAAGACCAGCCTGGCCGAGCATGGCAAATCCCCCATCTCTACTAAAAATAAAAAATTAACTGGGGTGTGGTGGTACAAACCTGTAATCCCAGCTACTCAGGAGGCTGAGGCAGGAGAATCGGGCTGAACCCATGGAGGCAGAGGTTGCAAAGTGAACCAAGATTGCACCACCGCACTCCAGCCTGGGTGATACAGCGAGACTCCATCCCCAAAAAACAAGAGAAGGGGTTATACCTTACAGGAGTGTTCTCTGTTACAGATCACAAACAGAATAGTTAGGAGACAACAATAATGTTTTCTCTGCCCATTTGTAATGGCAAGAAGTTTAGCATCTTTTCAGGCAGTCTTCTAATACCCGCCTCCAAAAGACTACATGTGAGACCTTCAGTAGAACACTGATAGAAATTTTACTTCTCTGTTTATACTGTGTTGCTTTGTGAGTTTACCAAGTTTGCTCCTGAGAGTGGCATTCCTATTTTGAGAATGAGAGCATGTGAGGGTAGCTCCTTAGCAATGTCAAAGCACTTGATAAAATCAGTGATGTGGGCTCAGGCTCAACCAGCATTTCAGAGGCCAAGGCTGGTGGATCACCCGAGGTCAGGATTTCAGACCAGCCTGATACCACATGGTGAAACCTCACCCCCTGCCAAAATAATAAAAATCAGTCGGGCATGGTGGCATGCGCCTGTAGTCCCAGTGACTCTCGAGGCTGAGACAGAGAACTGTTTGAGCCCAGGAGGCAGAGGTGGTGCAGAAACAGTGAGCCCAGATCATGTCACTGCATCTCCAGTCTGGGCGACAGAGCAATACTCCATCCTCATTCACCAAAAAAAAAAAAAAAAAGGTGATGTATGTAAGATCAAATGAGACCCTGCGGTGCATACAGGTCGACAAATTCCAGGGCATATTTCTTTTCTTTTCTTTTTTTTTTTTGAGGCGCAGTCTTGCTGTCGCCCAGGCTGGAGTGTAGTGGCGCACCCTCTGCTTCACTGCAAGCCCGTCCCAGGTTCAGGCCATTCTCCTGCCTCAGCCTCCTGAGTAGCTGATACTACAGGCGCCCACCACCACGCCCGGCTAATTTTTTTGTATTTTAGTAGAGATGGGGTTTCACCGTGTTAGCCAGGATAGTCTCGGTCTCCTGACCTCGTGATCCACCCGCCTCGGCCTCCCAAAGTGCTGGGATTACAGGCGTGAGCCACCGCGCCCGGCCTTCCAGGGGCATATTTCTATCAGTCCCTACTTGGATGTAGCTAAACTCCCTAGTCTTGCTAGGACAGTCTAAATCTGGGTGTTAAGGCTCAGAGCTGCTAAGAGCGAGTGTTCATTACCCGATGGTATATATCCGCCTTGACACTTCCTGCGCACGCTGCTGGCAAGCTACTGAAAACCTAGTCTCACAGGAGTGGGGGTTAGTCCACTACTTACCTCAAGCTCTGCATAACCTGGCTTGGACAAACCTCATAGGTTTCCACAAACGGCCTCAGCTGTGGATGAGGAAGGCTTCTCCGGCGGGCGTGGGGAAGATGGCCAGGGGACAAGATGATCGTTTTCATTAGTTGAGCTATTTTCTGTTTTGTTAAATAGTGGGGGAGCAAAGAACGGATGGGCTTCCTTGCAGCTTGTTGTTTGGTGCCCGGGAAGGACAAAGTGAGGGGTATTTGAGAAAAGTAGGCAGGTTTTCCTAGCAGGGAAACCTCACCACATGAAATGAGAAAAAGAATTCTCAGGAACAGCCAAGTTTGCCTTTCTCTGGTCTTCATTGTTGTAGCTTACCTGCTTCCCCTCCCTGCTGCGGCGGAGGCTCTAGGGCGGTAGAAGCGCGCGGCGGAAAAGACTACCAGAGGCGAGAATCATGCTCAGCGCGACAGCTGTTGGGGCTGGCACCCCTGACTCCGGGGCCCTCGGAAGGGGCGGGGCCCCGCAGGAGGGAGGGGAGGGGGAGGGGAGGGGGAGGGGGGAGGGGAGGGGAGGGAGGAGGGAGGGGAGGGGAGGGGAGGGGAGGGGAGGGGAGGGAGGAGAGGGGAGGGGAGGGGAGGGAGGGGAAGGGAGGGGAGGGGAGGGGAGGGGAGGGGAGGGGAGGGGAGGGGAGGGGGGCGGAGCGCTCTATCCGCCCTCCCGGTCGCCCGACTGCGCATGGCACGTTGCGTACTCCCCTCCCAGCAACCGGCCTGGCGGCGGCGCGGCCATAAAACTGAGGAGGCGGAGCCAAGACGGTCGGGGCTACTTGCTAACTCCAGGAACAGGTACCTGCTTGGCGGGGTGCCTGGTGAGCCGCTGGGGCCAGTCCCTCCTCGCTCTGCCACCGATTCCATCTCCCCAGGCCCGGGCCTTCGTCGGAGCGGCCATCCCGGGCTCACCCTTACCCTCCATGGGCCCCCTTTTTAACCCGCGTCCTCGACTCCCGCAATGAGGCGCCGCAGCCCGAGAGCAGAATAGGTTTGGGCCTGGCGGGGAGACGCTGAAGCGGAGTTGCCGGGCGAGAGAGGCGAGCTCCTGCTTTCCCCTTCCTCCCCACCCCCCAGGGCTTCCAGGTGGGGAACCTAGGGCTGGGTGCCTGTTTGTCCTGCTGAGGCAGAGTGGTGGCCGACTCTGGTGCTGAACTCCCCGCTCTCCCCAGCCGCCGCGCACCTCGGGCTGACAGGCAGCAGGTCAAGTCCTCGTAAGGACACAAGATATAGATGGCTCCCAGAATCGGCCTAAACGAAGAGCTCATTGTCTTTTTGTTTTCCAAAAATGTTTTTTGAGTGACTGCAGGGGATATGGGCGCCGGAGATGGGGGTTGGGGGTTGGGGGTAAGGAAGAGAGTTCGAGGGAAGGGCATTGGGTAGGTAAAATTGTTCATAGCTCTCAGGAAATAGGGAACTAACCTCTCTGCCCAGCCTTCTCCTGTATCCTAACATACTTTAACTTGACTTTCCTCGAAGAAAAAGCCGTTGGAATCTGCCCTTTTCTTATTGTAATATCTGTTCAAGTAGAAGCATGTTCCAATACGTATATGCGACGTTAAGACAATTCTTCATTGACACTCATACCTTTCTGAAGACACCCAGGACTGTTTCTTGTCTCTGAGAGTTAAGGAAGAAACCAAATTTGATCACCGGCCTAGAAGCCTGTGAATTCAGCCTTTAGGTACAGTGCTAAACTGGTTAAATCTGTCCCCTACTTTTTAATCAGATTTCTTAGAGGTGTTTTGGCTGGAATGCAGTGTTTATGGTTGTGGCCCCAGAAATGGAGGAAGTTTACTCTGGTTTTTAGAGCACAGGCTTTGGAACAGATTTAATTAGTCCCTACCACTTACCTGTGTGACTTTGGGCATTTAACCTCCCTGCACCTTAATTTCCTGATCTGTAAAACAGAGATGATAATACTTGTGAGCTGCTCATGAAGCATTTAGCACAGTGCCTGACACGTAGAAAGTTTGCCATAAATGTTTGCTGGGTTTATTATTTTCTCTCTTGATTTTTATTTTATTTTTTGAAATGGAGTTTCGCCCTTGTGGCCCAGGCTGGAATGCAATGGCTCCATCTCCGCTCACTGCAACCTCGGCCTCCTGGGTACAAGCAGTTCTCCTGCCTCAGCCTCCCGAGTAGCTGACATTACAGGCACCCCTCACCACACCCGGTTAATTTTTGTATTTTCAGTAGAGACGGGGTTTCACTGTGTTGGTCAGGCCGGTCTCGAACTCCTGACCTCAGGTGATCCACTAGCCTCGGGCTCCCAAAGTGCTGGGATTACAGGCTGAGCCACCGCCTCCCGCCAATAAAGCTGTTTCTATATCTGTCCACTAGTAATATTGCTTTGTTATGTGTGTGTGTGTTTATACACACACACACACACACACATATAGTGTTAAATTATAGTGTTAAATGTTTCTGATAGTCTGGGTGCTGTGGCCCACCTCTGTAATCCCAGCACTTTGAGAGACTGAGGCAATAGGATTGCTTGAGCTCCGGAGTTTGAAACCAGCCAGGGCAACATAGCAAGGCCTCATCTCTACTGAAAATTTAAAAAAATTAGCCGAGCTTGGTGGCGCCTACCTGTAGTCCTAGCTACTTGGGGGCTAAGGTGGGAGGATCACTTGAGCCCAAGAGTTTAAGGCTGCAATGAACTATGATAGTACCAGTGCACTCCAGCCTGTGCAACAGAGCAGGACCTTGTCTGCAAAAAATATATATACACACATACATATATGTGTACATATATATTATACAATATGTATATATGTACATATAATATACATATTAATACGTGTGTTGCATATGTGATATATACATAATATGTATACATATATGTATACATTATATAACATATAATGTGCATATATAATATATGCATAATATATACACCTACATATGTATTTATTCATTCTTGATAAGTGTAGATATATCTTTCGAATGATACCCCTCTGCCCTCCCCTTCCATTTGAATTTACATTTTAAGGAAATTTACATTTTCATTTTAAGGACATTTGAAGGGAGCATAGTGATGATGTTAATGTCATACAGATAACCCGGCATGGTGGCTCATGCCTGTAATCCTAGCACTTTGGGAGGCCGATACAGGAGGATAGCTTGAGTTCAGGAGTTTGAGACCAGCCTGGGCAAGTTCATTTGTACATGATTCAATCTGAAAATAGAAAAGTCCTTCATAATTTGTATACCATTTACTCTTAATCACTAGGTAGAGCTATTCTAAACCAGCTCAGATGAAATTTATTAGTAAGATTTTATCAAAGAAAATACCTGTGTGCAGTTATTAAAATAATTGTATAGGGGGCTATAAAGAAAAGTACTGTGGCGTGGTCTCCCTCCGCCTCACGAGTTGACGCCATTCTCCTGTGTCCGCCTCCCGAGTAGCTGGGACTACAGGCGCCCGCCGCCACGCGTGGCTAATGTTTTTTATTTTTAGTAGAGACGGGGTTTCACCGTGTTAGCCAGGATGGTCTTGATCTCCTGACCTCGTGATCCGCCCGCCTCGGCCTCCCAAAGTGCTGGGATTACTGACGTGAGCCATCATACCCGGCCTTTTTTTTTTTTTTTTTTTTTTTTGAGATGGAGTGTCACTCTGCAGCCCAAGCTGGAGTGCAGTGGCACGATCACAGCTCACTTCAACCTCCTGCCTCAGCCTCCCGAGTAGCTGGGACTACAGGTGCATGCCACCACACCCTGCTAATTTTTTGTATTTTAGGAGAGATGGGGTTTCACCATGTTGCCAGGGGCGGTGTCAAACTGCGGAGCTCAGGCGATCTGCCTGCCTCGGCCTCCCAAAGTGCTGGAATTACAGGCATGAGCCACTGGGCCTGGCCCCCATTAATTATTTAATCATTTTTTGTTTTAGTTCTTTAATGATGGACTTCTGTAATTTTAAACAACATGTTTAGACTTTCCACTGACAGGAGAGACAGAGAAATGACTAGGGAAGCTTATCCTTATTTTTCCAAGAGAATAAAGGTCATGCGGAATGTCACACCACCCCCTCCTCACTGCCTCCCAACTTTTTCTTTTCTTTCCTTTTCTTTTCTTTCCTTTTCTTTTCTTTTTTCTTTTTGTTTCTTTTCGTTTTCTTTTCAGGGACCCTGTGTTGCCCAAGCTGGAGTGCAGTGGCTCAATCTCAGCTCACTGCAGCCTCCACCTCTGGAGCTCAAGTGATCCTCCCATCTCAGCCTCCCTAGTAGCTGGGACCACAGGCACATGCCACCGCACCTGGACAGTTTTTGTATTTTTTATAGAGATGGGGTTTCAAACTCCTGGGCTCAAGTGATCCACCCACCTGTTTCCCAAAGTGCTGGGAATATAGGCATGAGCCACTGTGCCCAGCCAGCACCTCCCAACTTTTGATAGTTGAATCCCTCTATTTTTACTTCTGTTGGTTACCTTTGTAACCTTAAATTTTGTACATAAGTTTCTGTTTGTTATCCTATCAACTTTCGGCATTAACTTTACCTTTTTGGGAAGATAGGGATATTAGCTTCCCCAGTCATTCCTCTATCTCTTCCCTGTTCCATTTCCCATCTTCGGTCCGGTGAAACTTTACTTTCATATTATCAAATTTGAAGGCATTTACATTCTGTTATATAACTGTAATTAAGTTTATCATGCTTTGTCTATAGACTTAAAATTTATAAGCTGATAATGAGCACTTATAGTCTTATAAGTATTATTCACAGAACAGCCAAGCGTTATTCTGCACTCCATTCCCCTGTCCTAACTTCCTTATCATTCAAGGGCAAGTGGATTTTCTTTCTCATTCCTTGCTGAACTATCTCAAAAAAAATTTTTTTTTTTTTTTTTCCGAGATAGAGTCTCACTCTGTTGCTCAGGCTGGAGTGCAGTGGCACAATCTCGGCTCACAGCAACCTCCACTTCCCAGGTTCAAGCGATTCTCCTGCCTCAGCCTCTCCAGTGGCTGGGACTACAAGCATGTGCCACCACGCCCAGCTACTTTTTGTATTTTTGGTAGAGACAGGGTTTCACCATGTTGACTAGGCTGGTCTTGAACTCCTGACCCCAGGTAATCCACCCTCCTCGACCTCCCACAGTGCTGGGATTATAGGTGTGGCCACTGCGCCCAGCCATACTATCTCAAAATTATAACACATTTAAGTTTGTTTCAAATTTGGACTTTGACTTTTAAAATATAGTTTTAATTTCTATTGGAATTTTTGGTTGCCTTTCTGTTTGATTTTTTTGGAGGAGGGGCGGGGGGAAGAAACAGGCCACTTTCTACCCTGTCCCTGATATTTTTCATCCTTTATAATCTTTAATGATATTATTATATTTTCTTCAACCTGCCAAGTTCATGTTCTAATTTTGACTGATTCCTTTCTTGATCAGCTTCATAGCTATCATCATGAAATATCTCTTCAATGGACACACCACTTTTTTTTTTTTTTGAGACAGAGTCTCACTCTGTCACCCAGGCTGGAGTCCAGTGGCGTGATCCTGGCTCACTGCAACCTCCGCCTCCCAAGTTCAAGCAATTCTCCTGCCTCAGCATCCCGAGTAGCTGGCATTACAGGCACCCGCCAACATGCCTGGCTAATTATTGTATTTTTAGTAGAAATGGGGTTTTGCAATGTTGGGCAGGCTGGTCTCAAACTCCTGACCTCAGGTGATCCACCCACTTCAGTTTCCCAAAGTTCTGGAATTACAGGAGTGAGCCACTGCGGCCGGCTGGACACACCATTTTTTTTATCTCATAGCTTCCTTTTTAGATTTTAGCCTCATTTTACTGGAGTACGTTCTCAAATAATTTCATTTAAAAATGTATATGGGGCTGGGTGCGGTGGCTCACGCCTGTAACCCCAGCACTTTGGGAGGCCGAGGCGGGTGGATCACCTGAGGTGTTTGAGACCAGCCTGGCCAACATGTCTCTACTAAAAATACAAAAATTAGCCAGGCGTAGTGGCACATGCCAGTAATCTCAGCTACTCCAGAGGCTAAGGCAGGAGAATCCCTTAACCCAAGAGGCAGAGGTTGCAGTGCGCCAAGATCGCGCCATTGCACTCCAGCTTGGCCTGGGCGACAGAGCCACACTCCATCTCAAAAAAAAAAAAAAGGAATAGAAAAGCTGTTGACTGGGAGCTCTGTGGATTTAAGACTCATGGACATAAGTGGGCAGTTACGCCAGGGACTTGTTTTCAGCCCCACTTCTCCTTCCCTCATTCCTTATTGCTACAGTTTTATTTCAGAGCCCCTTAGGATTGTCTGCTGGGCAGAACTGCCGTCTCCTCTACTATAGTCTCCATTCACATTCTAGCCTGCAGCTTTCTCTCCATTTCCTGAGACAGCACCCTTCTGTCCACTTTTCACCTCCTAGAAATTTACTGAGATTTCATCTACTAATAGCTCCTCTCATTCTGTCCTCAGATATATGGTTATTATTTGTATTCCTTTACCTTAATTGGGACCTTGGGAGAGAGGTGAGATTCTAAAATCTTAGAAACCTGACTATCTAATCTTTCTAATTCTCTGAAAAAGTTAATTTTAAAGTCTCTCCTAGAAACATAAGCCATTATTATAAGCATCACTATCAGAGGGAGAAAGGTATTTGTCTCAGGTGTCAGACAGATGTCATTAACCTCATTTTAGAGTTACTAACGTTGAGATTCAGCAAGCCAAAGTATGTTG